GATCGTCCATGTATTGCAACAAAATCCCGCTACTGTAGACCGTCAGGGTACTGTCTATGCCTGACACCTGTCGGAGATTTTTTTTATCTAACTCCAAGTAGTGTTTGAGTAGATAAAAGACACATTTTTAATAAATTATAATCGGAAGTTTAACTTAGTTATATTATCATATTAATGAATAATAGAATGATGAAAATGAAGTCGCCACCTTAGCTCTTCCGCCGTCAACGTCGCTACAGCCGTAGCGTTCACGAAGTGGGTGCTGCACAGCTTCCAAACCGACCGACGTCTCAATTGGTATGCTACTGCCCAGATACAATACCCGACACTTCACCAGCGGTATATAACCGGCCATTCTCGGTATTTCGGTATTCGGTACCGTCTCTTCGGTTACGGGGTTTAATTCGGTTGGTTTTTTCTTCAAGTAAGTTTTGAGTTATTCAATTCAAAATGTTCTTTGTTTAGTTATTTGTTTGATTAAATACACCGAAGAATAACGATACTAGCTTGAGTGGTCAGTCGAAATAATAACGAGAATTTAGATTTTAATCTTAAAAACCCAATAAATCTAACTTTTACTTGGATTTTATAAACGAAGATTTCGAAATAAATGAAATTAAAATTTTCTACAATGAGAATAGTTAAGGCAGTTTGGCTTTTTTTATCCAACCAGAGATGAAAGCTACCATTGTTATGTGATGAGTGAATAGTTGGGCATAGCAGAACAATTAAGTTGAGCTACGTTTGTGTTTGTTGTGTTTGTGTGTGTGTGTGTTTGTGTTTGTTGTGTTCGTTTGTGTGTGTGTTTGTGTGTGTGTGTGTGTTTGTTTTTGTGTACGTCTGTATGTGTGTGTTTGTTTATGTGTCTGTGTGTGTGTGTTTGTTTCTGTATGTGTGTGTTTGTTTCTGTATGTGTGTTTATTTTGCTTAAATATTTTGCTTATTTCTGTAAATTGTATATTGTTAACTTTTAATATTATTACTACAACAACATAAGTATAAATTGTATCTAGCACATCTAGATATATGTAGATACACAATTAGATATCAATATGTATCTACAATATTGTAACTTTATACAAAACACTTTGGGTGGGATATGGTTTATAATACATTGAATATATATATATCTCTCTTTCTCTCTCTCTACTTATTAGTTTGTATCTATCGAAACACATGATGAATATAGCTGAATATAAATATTAAAATATCTGGCTTAGCGTGTGTTCAACCAAGCGAGGCCGTTTAATATTATAAATTATTATTATTATTTTATTAGATTTATTATTATTATTATTTTATTATAATTATTATTATTATTATTATTATTATTATTGTTATTACTGCTATAATCATTATTGTTATTAATATTTTATTAGTAGTAGTAGTAGCAGTCGTAGCAGTAGCAGTAGTAGTAGTAGTAGTAGTAGTAGTAGCTACCACTACTACTACTAAGTAGTAGTACTTAGTAGTAGTAGTAGTGGTAGCAGTAATGGTGATGATTATTTTCAATGTTGTAAAAATTATTTATGTTATTGTAATTATAGTCAGTGATTCGACTGGCGATCAAAAACAACAAATTTTAAAAATTTGTGTTTTGAAGTCGTAAAAAAATAATATATTAATTAATATATGAAACTACCCATCGTATGAGGCTAATATAGCAGCAAGTCAGGCTGTAAAAACAGCCAGCCAAGTATGAAGAGCTAATTAGTGATATAGGACACCGTAGGTTAAGCTGTTTGTTGTACGCAGTTGAGGTCGGTGCAAGAGGTGTTGATGGTTGTTCTGTGTGCAGCTTTTTGAAGGATTTGAGTTTGGCAGGTAAAAGACGATCGAGTTGTATGAAGAACATAGGAGGACATACAGCCGAGCGAGCTTCTTACTGGATGAGGTTATGTAGGAAGAAAAAGGAATGAGAGTTTAAATAGTTAACAGACGAGCTTTTGTGCTCGTAACGCCTCCGATTATTTAACACTCCCAGATTCGGCTTAGCGTGTTACTTGGCTCGTCGATATAACTCACATCGTGATGTGTTTATATGTGATCTGTCTGGCAAGTCTTTACAATTTCACAGTATAAAAGGAGGTGATTTCAAAGCGAGGCAGACTGTTCGGCGAGAGACATCCAACTGATCTCTGGATGGGGCCCTGTTTCTCGAGAGTGTCAGGAAGTTGAAGGGCCGAAACACTCGTTGACGGAAACTTTCTCTGAAGACTCTCGCTGAACGCTCGTTATGTTCAAGCTTCTACATACAAACATGCAAACACACATACATACACACATGCATACATACATACATGCATACATACATACATACATGCATACATACATACATGCATACATACATACATACACACACACATACATACATTCATACATGCATACATACATACATGCATGCATACATACATACATACATATATACACACACACACACATACATACATACATACATACATACATACAAGTTGAAAAATCTGGTGATCCCAATGATAAAATTTATATAAAGCAAAATATATCGTTGTTGTTGCAAAAGTTTAATTCATTTTGTATTTTAGAGAACATTGCTAAGTGCCCTTCTGTGCGAGACCCTGTACACTAATATTATCTGTTGAGCAGGGGCGAAATGATAGTTTTTATGGCTATTGTTTTTAACCAAGGGCTCGCACATACATACATACATACATACATACATACATACATACATATATAAATACATACATACATACATACATACAAACATATATAAATACATACATACATACACACACATACATGTACAACTAGGATTCCCTGCATCAAAACAGAATGAGTCATCCCATCATCATTATCATCTTCTTCGTCATCGTCGTCATCATCATCTTTTTCTTCAGTATTAGTTTTATCATCATCATCAACTTTCTATCATTGCCATCACCACCATCATCGTCATCATCATCATCGTTACTAGTATCAACAAAATCATCATCATCATCTTTGTAATAATTGCTATGACCGTTGGCTGATAGATTTAACTACTGTCAGGCCTTGTTGTCCAACTCTTCATTTCCAATCATCATCTTCTTCTTTATCGTCATCATCATCCTCTTCAACAATCACCATCATCAGGGTCACTATCATTATCAACATCATCTTCCACATCGCCATATCATCATTTAACCATCCATTCACCATTTTGTTGGCTATTTATAATAGTAGTGATCATCATCATTGTGACGTCATTTTGTTTTATACATCGTCATCACCATCCGTCAGCATCATCATCGTCGTCATCGTCACCATCATAATAGCTATGCTCTCGGCAAAAAGCCCGCACACTAATAAACACTGGCTAGGCATATCATCGCCACCATCATCACCCCCACCACCACCATCGTCGTCGTCGTCATCATCATAGCAATCACTATCATCATCATCATCTTCGCCGTCTTCGTCATCATCAGCGTCATCAGTGTACACTAGACATCAACCCTGCTAACATACAGCCATAGACCCGTCTATCTGGTCTATTGATTCGTCTGTATGTGGTATGTTTGTATGTTGTACGCTTGTCGCTCAATCGATGCTTCTCAAGCCAGGCATACATGTGTGTACACAAAAGTGTGTGTATGTATGTGTGTATGTATGTGTGTATATATGTATGTGTGTATGTATGTATGTATGTATGTATGTTTGCTTCAGGTCTCCATTAATAAAAATTGTTAAACTGTAAATTGTATGTGTGTATGTATGTGTATGTGTGTGTGTATGATGATTACAACGACGATGATGAAAATTTATTACTCATGTAATTAATTTTTTTGACATCATCATCAGTACAGACGTTCATCATCATCACCATCATCGTCGTCATATCGTCATCATTATCATCGCCACTATCATCATCATCGTCGTCATCTTCATCGTCACCGGAAACTAAACCATTAAATATGCAGCCATAGTTTGAGTGTAAAAATTATAAACAACATACATACGTATATACATACATACATACATACATACATACATACATACATACATACATACATACATACATACATACATACATACATACATACATACATATATACATACAAACATACATACATACATACATGCATACATACATACATACATACCCAGAGCTCACTCGTTAACTCGTACACATACCAACAACACCTAGCAATATTCTTTCTCAAATGTATGTTTGTATGTCATCCATCCATCCATTCATCTGTTTATTCATTTATTCATCCACCTCTCCATCTCTCCATCCGTTTGTTCATTCATTCATTCGTTCATTCGTTCGTTCATTCATTCGTTCGTTCATTCATTCGTTCGTTCATTCAATTCTTATTCGTTTAGTAATTTGTTAATTTTAGTTTGTTGGTTTGTAAACTTTTATAATGTTTTTTTGATATTTTAAATGAATTTTTTTGAAATAAAAATGCATAGATAAATAAATTTATATATAAAAAATAAATAAATTTAATCATAATAATGAAAATAGTTGTCTCGGAGCTTTAAAAATAACTTGCCATTCTATTAGGAACACAACAAAACAATATTATTATTACAATTATTATTAATAATATTATTATTATTATTGTTGTTGTTGTTGTTGTTATTATTGTTATATTATTATTATTATTATTATCATCATTATCATCATCATCGAGAAGATTGTCATCAACACCTCAGCCATCGTCGGATCATCATCATCACCATCATCACAATCATCATTTTAATGAATCAGAATCAATTTATTTAATGTAGTCCAGCGAAGATAAACGGAAATATGTAGGAATAATTAAAATTTAACGGACCATTCAGTTATAAATAAAGTAAGTAATTTTAATGTTATTATTATTAAAAGTTAATGTTAATGTTATTAATGTTATTATTATTAAGTCTTATTATTATTATTGTTAATATTATTATTATTACTATTATTATTATTATTATTATTATTAAACTACCACTACTTCTACACTATTACTACAACGACAACTACTACAACAGCTTCGACTACTACAACTACTACTACTACTACTACTACAATTACTACTACTACTACAATTAATACTACTACTAATATTACTACAACAACAACTGCTACAACAGCTTCGACTACTACTGCTACTACTACAACTTTTACAGCTACTGTCACTGCTGTCACTGTAATAATAGAAATAATTATAACAATTAAAGACCAATTATAAATCTTTACTTCCATACTAATTGTTTGTATGTATCTATAATTATTATTCGTTTCCTTCCGCCTTGCTATCATTATCAACACGTTTTGGTTTTAGTAATACTTATCATCATCATCATTCTCATCATCATCATCGTTGTCTTCATCTTCATCACTCTTATTATTATTATTATTATTATTATTATTATTATTATTATTATTATTATTATTATTATTATTATTATTATTATTATAGATACAAGGTTCAGACTGTATAGAATATATTATTGTCTTTTTAATAACTTTATTGCAACTCTATGCTTATCATAAAATTTTTGATTGATAAAGCCAAAATAATAAGAATGATTGAACCCCAATAGAACAGTTAAACCAGCCCCCTTCTTAATAGGATTTTATAATTATCTCATTATTGATATTTGGTGTTCGGAGTTAGAAAATAAAACTATGTTCTCATTATTATTATTATCATTATTATTATTATTATTATTGTTAATTCCAATTAGCTAATAACGCTGATGAACTAACACATGTCTTGTGTGGCGTTCTGGGTCTCATTACCAGTTCTCATGGTTTTCCTGTTACCAGCATGAAAGAATCCCCTAGTGATGGAGTGACACCTCATAACAGTCTCATAACAGTTGAAACATCGGTTAAGACATCTTGGATACTAGTTAAAAGAATCTGCAGCTGCTTACCAGTAATGGGTCGCTGAATGTCATCTAACTCGCTAAAGCTAAACGAATGCGAACCTCAGTTGCTTCCAGTTAGAACTTGGAAGCAGTTGTCGAAGATTAATATCAGCTCCGTTAAAATAGGAGACGTTGATACATCATTCATCAACACAGCTTCCAATCTACGTGTTCTGTAATATGATCATGTGATACTAATCCCGAGCGGGCTTTACCCGCTGACGATAAATATTAATAAAAGGATAGTCCTCAAAATTGCAGTTCTTACGTTCAAATCACTGAATGGTATGTCACCAGAATGTATGAAGAGTAAATTCGCCAAAAAACAAGCTACATCGACTTTTCATCTCAGGTCGGATGATTTGAAGTTGCTGTCTGTGCCAGTTACATGTTCGCAGATTGGTCCGGGAGACGTTGCAGTTCAATTACACTCAATTAATTCAATTAATTCAATTAATTCAATTTCACTGTTTGGAATAGTCTTACACCGGCGTTTAGAAGATCTCTAGACTTTCATTGGAATTATTTAAGAGAGAACTGAAAACATTTCTTTTTTCTTTTAGACTGTGAAAATTCTGACTTCTTTAATTTGTGTTTTTCATATTTAGTCACGTACATTTTTGTTTTTTAAAGAGAGCGCTCATGAGACTGTTTCAATTAGTGCTAACAAATTGGTCTTAATAATTAACTAAATAAATAAATACAAACATAGATGCATACGTACATGCATACACACACACACACACACACACACACACACACACACACACACACACACACACACACATGTACATACACACATACATACATACATACATACATACACACACACACATACATGCATACCTACATACATACATACCCACATAAAAACATTTCATCTAAAATTCCTTAAATTACGTTCGTTAATTTAGAAGACAGAGTGGAGTTTATAATTAACATTTGAAAATAATAACTATTGTTGTTATTTTTTTTCTCAAATCTCTCTTGCTTCTTCTCTCTCTCTCTCTCTCTCTTTCTCTCTCTCTCTCTCTCTCTCTCTCTCTACACTTTTTGTCTTACTGTTTCGCTCCGTCTATCTCCTATTCTTCTATCTTTTACTCTCTTCCTCCCTCTCTCTCTCTCTCTCCCTCTCTCTCTCTCTCTCTCTCTCTCTCTCTCTCTCTCTTTCTCTCTTTCTCTCATTGCCTATTTGAACTCCATAAAAACTAGACCAAGCCCGGAAGTACTAAGGCAGTAATGCTAGTAGTTGTATGAATGAATGAATGAATGAATGAATGAATAAATAAATGAAAGAATGAATGAATGAACAAAAAAATGAATTAATAATAATAAGGAGAACAGGAATAATAGTAAAAATAAAAACCATTATAAGGATGGTATTGTTGATGATGGCTGGGAAGGTGATTGAATTATATCAATGAAAATAGTTACATTTTACTACTAATGCTACTACCACTACGGCTACTACTACTACTGCTGCTACTACTGTAGTAGTAGCAGCAGCGGCAGCAGTATTAGTAGTTGTAGTAGTTGTTGTAGTAGTGGTAGTGGTAGTAGTAGTAGTAGTAGTAGTAACAATAGAATTTATACAATTTTGCAGTGACAGACCGCCTTGTTCGACATTCGTTTTAAAGTAATTTCAAGCAGGATGGCTGTGATGATGACGACGATGATGATGAATATGATAATAAACGCAACACCGATTATTATTAGAATGATGACGACGATGATGGTGACGATGATGATGGTGATGATATTTCTTTTGTTGACAGCCAGTCAGTCACCTTTGTTACCTTTTAAATAAATATCGTTTATGATAATTATGACGATAATGATGACGATGACTATAATTCTGCTACTACTACTACTACTACTACTACTACTACTACTACTACTACTACTACTACTACTACTACTACTACTACTACTACTTCCTACTACTACTACTACTACTACTACTACTACTACTGCTACTTAAACTACTACTACTAATAATAATAATAATAACATTAATAATATTATTCGTAATTATTTTTATTATTATTATAATTATGTCACAGATCTCGTCTCAGCAGACAGCACAACAAATAAAGGAATAAAAGGAAGGCCATTCAATCAATGAAATGATGCTCTCTTTTCGTCCATCCATCCAAACAACAACAATAACAACACTAACAACAATAACTTTTTTATTATTACTCTTATTCGTCAGAACGTCTGCAGCGGAAACAGAAAACATCATTAATTATAATAATAATAATAATATTAATAATAATAATAATGACGTCAGCGATGATGATGATGACATTAATCAAATCATCCAGTCGCGGATCGTTACAAGACCACCGTCGTTTAGTATGCCGCTAAAATTAGAGCCAAGTTAGTAGAGTGTCTGTCCGCTTTTTTGCAGTGACCGTGTTCGAATGCAAGATGATTCTGTTTTTTTTTGCATCTGGTCTGTATAGCTTGTTTTGCTGTTGTGTTGATGATATTAACACGTGCACAATAGATATGTTATTATTCATTTTTATTAACTATTTATTAAAGACTAACTCAAAACGTTATGTAATAATTATAATAACAACAACAACAATAACAACAATAATAATAATAAGAGTGGTTCATGTCTAGGGCTGACTAGAATGATAACAACAACAACAACAACACCAATAACAACAACAACAACAACAGTATCATTAACAATAACAATAATAACAATAATAATAACAATAATAAAACAACAACAACAACAACACCAATAACAACAACAACAACAACACCAATAACAACAACAACAGTATCATTAACAATAACAATAATAACAATAATAATAACAATAATAACAACAATAATAACAATAGGCGTTCACAGTAACGTCTGTGAAGCCGAAGACTTTGAAGCTAGCTGTGCCAGCGACGACGATGTGGTCGTCATCGAAGACGCCCTGCTGGGAATGATGGAGATGACGACGAAGTTATTATTATTATTATTATGTTAAATTGTATTATATTGTATTTTATTTTATTGTATTGTATTGTATTATATTACTGTAATAATATTAAAAATTATGATTAAGAGTAATTATGATTAATAATTACACCCCCCCCCTTGTCGTTTAGGTGCGTCGTAGCCGACTATGGGGCCCGCGGCTGTTCCGGAGACGCCACCACCCGACTAGATTACTTTTGTTCAGGTGGCTGTGGTGAAGATAATGTGGCTGCTGCTTTTGCTGCTGCTGATGATGATGATGTTGTTGCTGCTGATAGTGTTGATGATGATACACGCATACACACACACACATAACGCACACACACACACACACGCGTACTACAAACAAACATACATACACACACATACAAACATACATACATACAAACATACATACATACATACAAACAAACAAACAAAAATACAGGCCGAAAATCTTGTTCAGTTAGGCTACCGGATAAATTTTTCTACGGAGTTAATAACTGTCCACTTGAATTTAAAAATTTTCTGGATGCTTTTTACTATTGCATACCAAGTTAGTTGACTGATTGGTTGGTTGGTTGGTTGGTTGGCTGGCTGGCTGGCTGGTTGATTGGTTGGTTGACTGGCTGGCTGGTTGGTTTGTAGATTGATTGAAAAGTTGGTTGATTTGTTAATAAAGTGATTGATTGGTTCGCTGGTTGAATAAATGTTGAACGGTTGGTTACTATTTGCTGGTAGATTGTTTGGTTAAATCGAAAGTTGATTAACTTATTGATTCACTGATTGATTGATTGATTGATTGATTCATTCATTCATTCATTCATTCATTCATTCATTCATTCATTCGTTGATTGATTGATTCATTCATTGATTGATTTATTAAATACTAAAATTCTTATACTTTCAAAACCAAACTTCGAAACATTTGAATTTATAAATTCTATAGAAATCATTTAAGCTGATCTACAACTCAATCGAAACAGTTCCTCAGATTTATCAATAATAAATTATGAAAAGCTATAAATCTCTCTCCCTCTTTCTCTCTCTCTCTCTCTCTTTCTCTCTCTCTACTCACACACACACACATACACACAAAAACAACCAAAAAAACACACACACAAACACACACACAAACACA